TTTCAACCCACCATGGGCACCTCACTTTGGTGGGGTACATGAGACAATGATCAAGTCAGCGAAGAGAGCATCCTACGTAATATTGGGAACTGTAGATGTGACCGATGAAGAACTGCTGACAGCATCTACGGGTGCAGAGGCACTCATAAATTCCAGGCCTTTAACGTATCAGTCTGCTAATCCTTCAGATAACACACCCATCACCCCAAATCATTTCCTGATTGGACAAGTAGGAGGCCAATTCGCTCCCAGATCAGTTGATAATGGCCAGTTCAGTCCCAAGAAGCGGTGGAGACGGGTGCAAGAACTAGTGCGACATTTTTGGCACCGGTGGCTGCGATAGTGGCTACCAACTTTGAATCGTTGGTCCAAGTGGCAGAAGGAACAGAAAGACGTCTAAGTTATTGATGTAGTCTTGGTAGTGGCACCGGACACACCGCGTGGGCAGTGGCCGCTTGGTAGAGTCCTAGCGGTCTTTCCAGGAAGGGACAAGCACGTGATGGCGTATTCGAAGTGCAAATGCTTGGGTCATGTGATTATGCTTAGTGGATGTTTTTCTTTTGCGACAACGAGGAGATGTTTCACTAGTTTAGGATTGCAAATTCGTCGTAGAAATTGATGTTCAGTTAAAATTCGAATAAATGGTTTAACTTGGAACCAACTTTGGTAGTTGTGGTCATTGATGACACCATGCGAATCTGCTTCTGCTGAGGAATAACCCTGTGATGTGCTAGTATTACATCGAGTGGGGAGTAGAAACATTCCTGTTTGCTGTGCGGGACAACGCTCGGGTCACTAGGCTTAAACAGAGTATTCCCTTTGGCACTGTAACCTTACTTCATGTTACAGGCACTGAATTGTACCTCCACTTACACAGCAGTTGCTTCCTGTGCATTAACCACTCGAGCACCAGGTCCTAATGCGTTATTCCCACCACTGATGTTTGCGTTGATTTGCTGACTGACGTTAACTTGGTTTGTCACCAACACAACTGTGGCATCTGGAAGGTACAATGTAGATCAACATTTACTTTTGAGAAATGTTTATACAAACCAGCTATACAAAGCTTTTGAATGATGTAGCATGAAACATCACATATACCTCTATGTTTTTTATTACAACAGTGACTGACATTGCATATTGTACATTCTCTGACTGGCTTGGAAACAGGTTGTACATCACAGAAAGTTGTTTTCTTTATTATTCACTTTATGCTACTTTCAGGGGTTTGCTACAGGTGTCCAGACACTATTTTTTGAAATATTCACTGTACAAACGTTGTACAGACAGTAAGCTTCCATTGTTATTAAACTGAAACAACATGAAAATAAACAAATTTTAATATCTTTACCTGTTCGTAATCCGTTCGGTAAATTACGTTCTGTTAGTTCGAAGCAACTGTCTGTAGCCAGTAGGAGGAGAAAAATAATGATAATAATTATTATATTGAAAGGAAATACATTGCATTAAAGACCAGGTTTTGCACAGTCGAAAAACATTAAAGAAACTGCTTTTGCAGCCGCCTTTTTTGTTTCGTCTTAAAATCCTCACCTAGCCAAATTCTCTGTACCGTGAAGATTTTGAAATAATTCACCAAAGGAAATTGAAGAAAACAGTGACAAGCTCCTTTGTTCAAGTGTCTGATTAAAAGCCATTATTTTAATAAGGCTAGTTGTAAAGAGTATTTTTTCTTCCCTTGTTACATTTCAATAGGTTTGAGTGAATAAGTAGTAAAAAGAGAATACAAAAACCAACTTTCAAAAGTTAACACTAGTGCGCTCCACATCATAAAATTAATGATTACCCTATGGAGCTACGTGGAAGGTGTAGTGGCCTTATGGTTAGTGTACTTAACCCCAGATAGAGCAGTCTGGGTTCGAGACCAGGCCGGAGACATTG